TTAGAGTAGGTAAAATGAGGGTTACACAGCCAAGCACGTTACTCATTCCTTAGTCTGAAATCAGTTTTGGATTAGTAGAAAGTTACCTAAGGTAAACATGACCCTATTAGCTCAGTCATTAATGAACCTGGTCACAGCTTTAGAACAGTTGATGATCAGAACATTACACAGAAAGGCAGAAAAGGCTTTAAAGTTGGCTTTGCCTTTAGGTCTCTGATTATTTGTTCATTATATAAGTAGTACGATCGTTACTTGTCATGGAGAAGCTATATTTGGATCTTATATTAGTAACAAAAATGTATTTTCTATTAAGCAAAAACAAAAACATGACTTATGAGTATAACAGCACAATAAAACAACGTTACGTAATCGTTGGAAATGCTAAAGTTCTGTATGCTAATTTAAAGAAAACACACTGTACCCGAAGGTCATAATAATCTCCTTACATATTCACACAGGAAGTTCACTTAACACAACAACACTATTAATGTACAACACGCATACGGAGACTTCCGGAGGCGGTTTGGTTTACATATAAATTTAAACAGGTTTCTACAAGTATCAAGTCAAACGCAGGTGTGACAGCTGTAACGTCGTGAACAAATCATGTATGATATACATTTTCATTTGAGCAATATTGTGAGAGATTTTCACTTGTCTCCAATACTTTTGTTCCTAGATATACAATTCATAAACGTGTGTTTACTAATAAAATATTTTACGAGTGGTGTTTAGGATACAGAACATAATGAGATTATATCCACTATGCTTGAAAATGCGTAGGATAAATAAATAAATATAGGTGTTTCAGCCAAACAAACACACACACGTGCATATGCCGATGACTAAGTGCAGAATTCAATATTTATGTAATGTTTTGTTTGTTTTGAATTTCGCGCAAAGCTACACGAGGGCTATCTGCGCTAGCCGCCCCTAATTTAGCAGTGTAAGACTAGAGGGAAGACAGCTAGTCATCACCACCCACCGCTAACTCTCGGGCTACTCTTTTACTAACGAATAGTGGGATTGAGCGTTACATTATAACGCCCCCACGGCTGAAAGGGCGAGCATGTTTGGTGGGACGGGGATTCGAACCCGCGACCTTTAGTTTGCGAGTCGAGTGCCCTAACCATTGGCCATGCCGGGCCCTTTTTATGCAATGTATGCAAATGTTGTGTTATGTTTCTTTGCTACTCTACCAACTTAGAAACTTCAATCGTTACTATGTCATCTGCTGCATGAGGAAGTTAGTAATTTTTATATACAATTATGTTATTCCCACATCTCATTTAGTTCTCATGTTGCACAGGAAACATATGAATATACAACGACTGGTGGGAAACTAATAGCACACCACGCGCTTTATATGGAAAATACCTTAAGATTTAAGTTGGAAAAACCAGTAATGAAGACATGCGACAAAAATAAATAAAAATATAATCGAAACGTCGCCACCGTTAGCTCTATAGAGCTATGTATACGTTGATCATATATAATTATAAAATCATATTTAGTTAAAACAATATATTAAATATAGGTCGTTGATTTTTTTCGTACTTGGAACCCCCTTCGATATAGTAAACCCATTATACCTAGAAATATATAAACAAACTTTTACATGCACACATATGTATATTGTGCAGTCAATTATATTTCAAATAAACCGCTACTTTCACACTTTACAAACAAACAAAGCACTTTACACACGGTTAACTATCCGTCTTTACAAACAAACCAGCACTTTACACACGGTTAACTATCCGTCTTTACAAACAAACCAGCACTTTACACACGGTAAACTATCCGTCTTTACAAACAAACCAGCACTTTACACACGGTAAACTATCCGTCTTTACAAACAAACCAGCACTTTACACACGGTAAACTATACGTCTTTACAAACAAACCTGCACTTTATACACGGTAAGCCCTTTTTCTTTACAAACAAACCTGCACTTCATACACGGTAAGCCCTTTTTTCTTTACAAACAAACCTGCTCTTCACACACGATAAGCCCTCTATATTTACAAACAAACCTGCACTTTACACACGGTAAACGCTCTGTCTTTACAAACAAACCTGTATTTTCGAATGTCTTTACAAATAAACCTGCACTTCATACACGGTAAGCCCTTTTTTCTTTACAAACAAACCTGCTCTTCACACACGATAAGCCCTCTATATTTACAAACAAACCTGCACTTTACACACGGTAAACGCTCTGTTTTTACAAACAAACCTGTATTTTCGAATGTCTTTACAAATAAACGTGCTCGTTCCATAATGTGGTCCCAATGACACTGTAAACGAACATATATTTTTTATAAAGAGAACTCAGTGTTTTATAAACGAAATCGCATGTTACATTCTATCAGAAAATTATCTAAAATGAAACAATGTTATAATTGTAACACAACTGTATTTTGATACGCTTGCGAAGTCTTCGGTAAGCACTTTGGGTTCATATGAAATCAAACTGGTTGCTATTGGTATAAAGCTAACTGCTGTACGGCTGCGTGACAGCTGTTCATAATAAGAATCGGCCACGTTATATTCTCTTGTGTCTTTGATCATGAGTAAGATCATAAGTGATATTCGTCTGTTTATGAAGACAGCTGTTCTCTGTGAAAAGTACGTTTGTCAATATGGTGCAGAAACTATAGCTTTTATTAACAAACCTGTAATTTGCATTCGGTAAAGTTCGATATTTTTACAATCAAATTGGGCATGGGTTATACCTGTAGTAGAGAGCTCTGAAATTTAGAGCTGACAAACCAAGTACGAATATGTGATACCACAGAATATTCCCCGCACTTTGAGCTATGGATGTGTTAAAAGGGTGACAGTTAATCCCTTGGGGTTCATGGTTCGTGGTAGGGTGCTGCCGACTCGCCACTTTCCTTCTGGTCTGGTTAGTAGTTTTGCTATGAAACACAGATACAAACAAATCTGTGCCTTTCACATCTCGCATCTAATGTCTTTTTAAATAAAATCGTTCTTTTGTATATCACGACCAGAATTTTTATAAAAAATCTGATATTAAACACAAATAATCATCTATCTTTATGAATAAAACCACATTTCTTTTAATGTGAAAAAAAAAATCTTTTTTAAACCAAGTCTGCACCATTTCACACTAAAAGTCGATTTTTCTTTACCAAATTCTGAAAACAATGACATTCGTAGCAATATATTCACCTTTCAATCAGTGGCCCCCCTGGTGGTTCAGCGGTAAGCCTGAGAGCTTATAATGCTAAAAATCCGATGGTCAGAGCACAGACAGTCCATTGTGTAGGTTGGAGTTTAACAACAAACAAATCTATGCAGTGAATATTTATCCAAGTTTACACATTAAATTATTATGTTAAACGTATTACATCAAAGTAGTTTTATTATAGTGACAAAAAACAGGTGTCATTACTAGGCTAGTATAAAAGACTGTTTTAGTTTCGTTGAATAGGTGCTTAATGTCCCATCGCAGAAATTGAACTCCATATGTTAAAAGCATTCAATCTCAATGCTGAGCCATCAAGGGGCAGTACTTAAATTACATACAACAGTTATCTGCTTGTCTATGTATCTTACTATTCTTCTCATGTTTTTATGACATTCTTTAATTGGTTGCGCTGTTCTGTAATTTGAAATTTTCGATTATAGCACTATTAAATAGACAATTTCTGCCCTTGCCATTGCGCTATATAACTACGCATTGAAACAAATGGGGTTAGAATAGTACATTAGTGATTAGAATTAAATTTCATCATAAGCTACAACACTGGTATTTGTTGGAAGTACAGGGCACTTAATAATTTAACGGAAAAAAGGGCTGAAACTAAGACACCCTCTAGAGTCAAGTATAAAACACCACACCTTGCCTTGTTAGGCCTAGCTCTATTCCTGTTGGGCTTTAACTGATTTAGTTCGAACTCAGAGTCTCAGGGTGAAACAAGCCACGCCAAATCCGGTTCAAACACAAAGCTTGTGTTTTGGGTCAATTGTTTGGAGACTTTCTCTGCATGCACAAACACACACATTTATACATACATCTGGTCACGATGTTAATTCGTTATAAACATAGATTTTGAAACAGTGGATTCCAAGCCAACTGGTTCTACAGTGTGAATTGAGTAATACTTGCGATTAATATACGAGACACTGGAAAATCGTGAATTTTTCACGAATATTTCGAATAATGTTCATTGTTGTTGTGTAATGCTAACGTATTTAAAGTTACTGAATTATAATCAATTCAACTAGTTTTATTCTCACTAAGTACTAATTGTATGTCTGCGTGATTATAGGCTTTTCAATGAATTTTATGCCAGACTTAAACATAAATGAATTTCGGAGGGTAACGTGGAACTTCTAAATTAAAATCGTGTAAGTGACTTGCGATGGATTAGACGTGGCGCTGTGCATGCTATCTTTGATTGATAATGTGCATGTGACTCCTAAATGGGTTTGAGAAACTGATTATGATTTTCAATTATTTTCATGTACGATTATGTAGTTTATTCTTTGAAACTTTCTATGAGAGATCCAAATAGTTATGTTAATAAATGTTTATATAATTACCAATTAGTCATACTTGTAACAGTGTACATTATTTTCCAATTACACATATACAACATTAAAAATGAAACTCTGTACGCGATTTCCAGTTATAGCAGGTATATATGTATAAATTTACGAACGTATAAGATCCAAATAGTTTCACGTTACATTGAATATGATATGTTAGATGTCTCTGTCTGGAGATGATCCCCAGTCCGGTTACATCTATATATAGAACTCTATGTATGGTTTTTTCATTAGCTATATGTACACTTACCTGCTTGCCAACCTACCTTGAATCCAAACTTACTATTCATTTGCCCATCAACCTATTTAATTCCAAATCCTACTCACTTTATTTGCATATTAACCCGAATTTAATTACCTATACATATATGTCTGTTTTCTTTGCAATTTATTTATATATATTATCCTATTTACTCACCTTTCCAATATAACCATCAGTGCAGGATGTTTTGCTCAACCTGTAAAATAGAAGAGATACTTATTAACATGATATATTTATGATTCGGTGATTCTAAAACGCCACGAAGAACTAGTGCATAAACAGATATGTAAATTAGTAACTTATTTGGAAAGGAAATGCACGAATGTTAGACCATTCAATCTTATTATAAGTTTTATCATAAATCGATAAAATGAAGCTGTAAGTTTATGAAACTTTTACGCCTACAATCAACGACTGACAGAAATACAACGCATCCATGTTATTGACTTAAACGGAAACACTCATACGTCTTCAGCGAAGAAACAAATCAAAAACTTCAGGGGTCTCTAAATTGTGGATGTTAGAAAAATTTTATTTAGCCGAGTTTCAGCGCAATACAAAATTATCATCAAGATAAAACATATGTCGTTCACATACAATAGTGTTACTAAAGTGTTTTTTTTATAACAGTATACTAAGAGATGTCTGTTTCTTTCCAAACTGACCCTTCCGTATATACAGGATGGTCCAAAATTATCTTTCCTCTTTTAAAGTTTAATAATTAACTAACTAAGGAATACTACCATGAGGTTTTCAACATCTTGTAGCCTAACTCAAACAGTTGTTATTGACATGTCAGTAGACTTCTACGGGTGCTTCATTAGTAGATCTCAGCACGTTTAAGCGATATTAGATTTCACTCCACCTTCGCTGCAACATTTTCACAATTACAGTGGTGATGGTGTGCGTTATCCTAGTCTTTAGCTCCGTGATGTTTGCTATAGGTGTGCGATACACGATATCCTTAACATAACCCCATACCTGTATTCTGTATAACCGTTAACAAGTAAAGAAAACACTTTTCAAAAAATGGAGTAAATGTAGGGATGGCTAATATCAATCCTTCAAAAACAATGCAAATAAGATACAAGGGATGGCAGTACATCATCCCTACATAATAGCACAGGCATACAGTGTAATGGAATGTTAACAGACAAAAATAGGATACATCAAATACAAATGTGATTGAATAGTTATATATATATTGCTATATGTTAATTCTTCCCTGTGTTATTATGTAGGGTGATCCAAATGCCATCCCTTCTATCTTGTTTGTATTGTTTGAGGGATTGATATTAGCCATCCCTACATTTACTTCCTTTTTTGAAAAAAAAATATATTTGTTTGCTTGTTTTTTAATGCAGTGTTTCAATAGACATAGGAAGGTTGTATTTATAACAAATGCGGTTTTAAAAATTCTGCGCGAAAAGCTGTATAGCTGGTCCAAAAGAATAATTTTTATACATTAAAAAGTCTAAAGTCGCATATGTGTGTTCTACTTATAAAAACATGGAAAATCGAAAGGTTTTTGATATGTGGTAAATCAGATAACTTGAACCCCTACCGGATATTTTTTTAAATGACATTATAGAAAAAAATAATTTACAAATTATCAGGCACTGATGCATTTATAAATATAACGGTCAATAAAACACCGCACCCGATATTTTAATTTGTGTGATATTTCTCAGGATTGCAGGTAGTACGATACTTCTTGAAATACGACGAATGTGTATAAATTAAAAAAAATAATACATACACAAGCGCCATGACAACCCTAAGACTCAAACTCACAAAAGTTTGACAACTTTTAACACAATTAAGCGCTATGACAACCATAAGACTCAAACTCACAAAAGTTTGAAACTGTTAACACAATGCAGCTTTATTAAAAACTGTCCAGAGTATCTCAAAAGAACAGAGAAAATAAATTAAAAAAAGGAGTTCATTCTACAATCTAATCGACTTGATATATAGCAATAGAAGTGTTACAGTATTCACACACGAAAAATAAGGAAATAAGTAGATTTTAACGTCGATTAGCAGTGAAAGCGCTGTTGATATACTGTACAACATAATATTAAGTATGCATACATTCAAGTTCTGAATAAACTCTGCACGAAGAAAAAACAAACAATTTATTTTATTATAACAACATACTATAATGGTGCACAATATATACATAGAAATTAAAATTGTGAACGGTCGTACAAGAAAATATGTTGAATGGAGAACATTATCATGAATTGAAGATAGAAAAATAATCTTATAGAAAACAACTACAGAGTTGCATAGGGGCCGTTAACAAATTCCCCTTCATTCAACTGTGACACACACTATGAAATATTACCATGAGTCACGAAAGAAATAGCCACCGACAAAAGTTAGTAAATTCAAACATCTTAGCTGGTGCATCACGTGTCGTCAAGGATGTTCTGTTCCTAAGTGCGTATTAAATACGTGCATGTATGTACTTAAGCTCACAAACACACACTATGAATAGGGATATAAAAGTGGTAAAGTCACAGAAATTCACTTTAACGAAATTAAACATAATTTCAGTCAACGGAAGATAGTCTACTGGAGGACAAGTAAGAGTAGATTTGTTTGTTATGAATTTCGCGCAAAGCTACACGAGGACAATCTACGCTAGCCGTCCCTAATTTAGCAGTGTAAGACTAGAGGGAAGGCAGCTAGTCATCACCACCCACCGCCAACTCTTGGGCTACTCTTTTACCAACGAATAGTTGGATTGAACGTAACTTTATAATGCCCCCCCCCCCCTGGCTGAAAGGGCGAGTATGTTGGTTGGGACGGAGATTCGAACCCACGACCCGAAGATTGCGAGACGAACGCCCTAACCACCTGGCCATGCCTGGCCAGTAAGAGTAGAAACACTGAAGTCGAAAAGAATTCAAAGAACGAAGTACTACATAAAGAGCCACCGAAAACTTATCGCATATGAATTTCAATAATATGAAATTGAGCGCATTTCAACAGAAGTGCAGTACATAAGAAAACGACTACAAATGGAAACTTCAAGTATAAAAATTGAAGCTTTACAAGTTACAGCAGAAACTTACAAAACTAAATTGTGAAAATCGATTAAAAATGATGGAAGTTTTAGAGAATACAAAAAATATGAGCAGATTCTGGAAAGTCTAAAAAATATCGGAAAAACAAATGTATTACAAAATAGTTTTTTGTTTGTCCTGTTTAAGCACAAAGCTACACAATGATCTATCTGCGCTGTGCCTACCCGGGCATCGAAACTCAATTTTGAGCGTAATAAGCACTCAGACTTACCGTGGAGTCACCAGGGGACAACACTGCTACTTGTACGAAAGTTTTTGTTTGTTAATAAGCAGAAAGATACACAAAGGGCTATCTGTGCTCTGCCCTCCACAGGTATCGAAACCCGGTTTCTAGCGGTATAAGTCATACCGCTGTGCCACTGGGAGATGTACGAAAGTAGCGCTAACATATGCAACAACTGTAATTGGTTACTTTGAAGATCAAATATTTGATATATAGCATTATATTTTGATAGAGGGCTATTTAAAAAAATTATGTATATAATATGGTAAAATAACTAAAACATCAGATATTAAAACTTGTACGGATTGTAAATGACACTATTGTCGTAATACTTACATGAGTAATACTACTTTGGAAAGTATGATTTTTACATGGAGATATAGTTTCTAAAATCAAGAAATTGTATTTTTATGTAAATGTGTGGCAAACGGATAACTTTAGAGTTAGTGTGAATTTACATAAATACCACTTAAGATATCTTGAAAATAGCCTTGTTTCTTACTCAAACCATTTTTTATAATTGTGTCATCAAACCATATTTTTTCTGTTCCCCTTTTTGGTAATGTGATATTAATTTACAAATAAGATTGGAATATGAAAAAAGTTTTTATTACGAGATTCGACTGTCCGTTAAACAAGGTTTAGATACATTTGTTTTATGTTATTGTGTGTTTACAAAATCATTTTAATATTTTAAGTATATTGTTTAAGATACTAAAAATTTAAATTATATCACTTTTACATAGATCTTATGTCTCCGCAGAGAGACATACTGTTTTCCTATTGTTTCTTTTTTTTCCTTCCAAACACTTTACAATCGAACGCCATTTCTTCATTTCTCGGCAGGTTGACTTGGAACTTGATATGGTTATACCTTGGTCCAATACACCCAAAATGTTTAGGTCATTTTTAAGGATTTTACTGGGTCAGAGGTCATACCACCCAAAAATGTATATTTTGGGTTTCTCTGAGGTCATACTTACAGCAATAACATTGGCACAAATATAAATTTTCATGCGCCCAACATAATTACATACACAAAAGTTGGGTTTTTCCATTCCGAGTCTTTTCATGGAGGTCAGAGCATAATTTTCGAGTATATGATCAATTACTCGGCCATATTTTGACCAATTTACATGGGATTTGGTACAAAGATACTATTCTATAGGTCCCACACATTGACGAAAAAAATGGTGGACTTGCCCATTTTTATTAATTATAGGGGAGTCAAGATGCCAAATGCATAATTCTAGGGTTTTTTTGACAATTAATTCGCCGTATTTCGGCCAATTTACATGGGATTTGTGCAAAGACACTTTTTTACAGGTCCCATACATATGCACACAAAAATGTGGGATGTGCCAATTTTTGATTATTTTAAAGGTCAATTACTAAGCCTTGTTTCGACCAATGTACATGGAATTTTGTACAAATATATTCCTTGCAGGTCCCAAATAGAGATATAGACAATTGGAAATTTTTGTTACTTGCTCAATTTTTCAGCGAGGAAAGTATAATTTGGGGTTTTCATGAACAACTTATGTATATGTCAACCAACGTAAATGGGATTTAGTACAAAAGTACCTACTTACAGGTCTAAGCAGTGATATAGGCAGTTTTAAATTTTTCTGTGTTCTCGAGAATGTTGGCATCTTTAATATTGAGGTTTAAATCTTCAAAGTAATTAATATTAACTAAGAAACTAAGGAGCAGCCGAATGAAAGCGCTTTTATTTTTTCACTGGCAAACCTGAATAAAATATGAATATTCAAAATAATGTCTTTATTCGCGTATATATCTATATATATATGTGTGTGTGTCAATATGTATACACACAAACACATGTAGATGCGTTATCATTTACAGCACAAATATATTTT